TAGAAATCATAATCATCAGGTGACAGTATGGACACCTCACTACCAAAAATTCACATAAAATACTTATACATTCATTTACAACACCTTGTCAGATGACAGTAAACAATTAAATTCGATACTAAAGTGTAAATCCCACGTAAAATCTTTTCTGCTGCACAACTGTGTCTATACAATTAGGGACTTTACCGAGTATACAAAAAAAATGAATACAATAATATTATACAATGACATATAATGTACCATTTGGATTGATCTAATCCAGTCGAATTCCAAAGATTCTGTAGCAAGTATTGTACTTCAGCTATGGGTCAATAACCCATATCTCAGGTTTTCGTCCCATTTCCCTGATCATTGAGGAAATGCTGAGATGGCTCCTTGTTTTGGTTCTGGACATAAATGTAACTTCATATTAACTTCTCCCTATCGCACGTCACACACACTTTAACTGTTTTTGGCGCAAATAAATCAACTTACCACATACTCGTATTCTTGCCAGTTGCCATCCCTCGCCACCCAAAAAACATTTTTGGACATTTTATTAATTTTTCGAATTCCTAATAGTAGAGCGGAAATATTATTTCAAGAGTATTAAAGAACAGTAAAACCTCGTCCTTAATGGCAATTTTCTTTGAAAATTTGGAGCAGTTTTTAAAAAAACTGGCGTTGCTACTAAATTCGAAATTAGAAGCTTTTTTTTTTTACAGAAAATCATAGTTTTTGAAAACCATTTGAAGTACTGTATCTCTGTATATCACAATAGTATTTACAAATTGCTGGAAACGTGCTTAACAATGGCGTGAGATATCTTTAAAAATAATTGCATGCGTAATTTAAAAAAATACACCGAAATAAACTTTATATAAAAGCGGCTCCACACATTCGACAAGTTGCAAGCGACAATTCACCCTATTTCGAGCAGCGATGTGCTCGGCGAATGTTCGCTCCCTTTGATGTGTCCTGAAGACCGACATGCTGTGGCTAGGGCGAATACCGAATGTTCGGCGCCCAGCGAATCACACGCACCCCGTCCACACTACTCGGGATTCGCCAAATGCCGCAAGTATGGAGCCATCTTTAAAGAGTGGAATTATCTCAATCCTTTCGAAATTTTTGAAGCCATTTTTGAGAAAATGGCGTGTGAGCGTCTCTGAAAAAAAGGAATTTTGAGATAGTTTTCACAAGAGGAATTTTCGAGAAACTTTATACATTATTTTAAGCACATGAGCATATGGCGTTTATGTTACCTCACAGAGAATATATTGCAGCGTCCCTACCAAAATCTTAAAGAAAAAAATTGGAGCACTTTTTATGAAAATCTTTTTTAAATGTTTTAAAATTGCACATATATATTGCATACAATATTGCGCGTAAACTACTAAAATAAAAATAAAAAAGTACATGACCATAACTCACTATGATGAGAACCATTTTTATTTGAAGAAAAACAATTTATCTTTAATTTTGTAGTTGTAATACACAAAAAAACATACTTTTGAAATTTTCGAAAATTTAGAGTTAACAGTGAAAATCTGACCTATGCCACGTTTGAATGTTAATCTATTATAACAAGAAATTTAAAGAAAAATGTATGAGCCATTTTTGACATTTTGAAAATGTCCGGAGGGCTTCATGAAAAGAGCCCCAAATTTTGAAGAATGATTTTCAAAATCTCAAAGTTTCGACTCGAGTCAGATGGACACGGGTTTCTTCAATTTGGAAAAAAATCCTACGTGTGGTTTACGCGCTACTAGTGTATACAAACGGATGGACGGACGTTTCGAAAAGAACTTTTTCAGTTTCAAAGGATAGCAAAATTCGGATATCGGTTGAGATCTCGAAACCGATTCCCGAGCATTACATTATTTTCCCTATACTACGTACATCACTCCGTATAATACGGACGTATACACGAAAGTAAAAATTAATAAAAAAAATTGCTTAACCGATGCAAATAAGTTTTCTATTATTCACGAACGAAAATATTTAGTTTTTCAAATGCTAGTATTGTGCTTTTGTAAATTTTATTACTTTTGTTTTACTTTTTGAACTTTTCATTTTTCAATCTATTTGTAGTTACCATGTTGGGAAGGCATTCCGGAGCACAAGTGATCTCCCCCATTCGTCACATTTTTTTCAGTATTTCACTAAATAAATCAAACCACGCTTATACATTCATAATGTGTGTTCCTTTAAGACGGTATAACGATCAAATGATAACATTGGTGACCAATAAGTGAAAACTTGTAAGTTATCGAAAAAAGAAGCCCACGGTATTTTTGTGTAGAATTCAGTATTAAGGCTATTTAATTTTATCACTACGCGGAGCACTTCTATTGATTTCAATTCTCCATTTTGGATAAAACTACAGGGTGAAAAAATAGGGGTGACGGTGTCGTTCATTGAGGCACTACATTTTGATCACCTACATACGAGGGTTGCGTTTTATAGTTCAGGATTAGAGAAAAATAAACAAATATTAATCATCGAAAATCACTGTTTTTCAAAATATTCCCCATGAAGATCTACACACTTTTGCATGCCTTTGAACCAATTGTCGAAGCACTTTTGCCACTCTGATTGAGGTATCTCCAAAACATGCATTCTGAATGCAGCAACCGCTTCTTCAGATGTCGAAGTTGGCCTCTTAGTTTGTTTTTTACGTACTGGACTAAAAATAGTCATTCGTGCCAAGTCAGGACTATAACGGCAATCTCTCATCAAATTGATGTTTTGGGTGCTCAAAAATTGCAGTTGTTTGAGCCGATGTGTGAGAGCTCGCATTGTCGTGGTGAAGTGATCCGTCTTCGCGCGTTGATTTTCTGGTTTCTTGGAAGACAGCTGGCAAACAAATAGTTTGTACCACTAAGAATGACTGTTCTGCGTTGTTCTAGTGGTACGGTTGCGACAAGTCGTTTTTCCAAAAAACAGGCGACCATCTAGTTTGGAAGTGTTTCGTGCGCGAACAAACTTTTTTGGATTTTTCGGCTTTTTTCAATCTTGAAAACACCATACAGTCGACTGCTGTTACTTTCGGCTCATTACGGTAATCCACGATTCATCACCTGTCACGATGTCATAGACGTGTTTCGAAGCACCGCGATCGTATTTTTTGAGCATTTCTTTCTTCCAATTGACACGAGCCTTTTTTTTTGAGCGATTGACAAATTGACAAGGTTGACAAGGTTTTTTGACAGTCAAATGCTCATGCAATATTAAATGTATGCTGGTCCCACTAATGCCTAAGGTTGCCTCAATCTCACGATAGGTCACATCTTGCAATATCACCTCGCACATCATCAATGGTTTTCGGAACAACTGATTTTGGACAACCTTTGCGAAATTGGTCTTGGAGTGAACTACAACCACGATTGAATTCACCATACCATCGATAAACACTGGTTCTTGATGGAGTTTCATCGCCAAAAATTGAATTAAGTTCATCCATGCACTGTTGCTGAGTAAATCTACGTCGAAAGTTGTAAAAAATAATTGCACGAAAATGTTCACGATTTAATTCCATTTTTGGGCTAAGATGAATTTTTTTAAGTTACTGTAAACAACGCAAATAGCGCTAGTATGTCAAAACGTTCTGAGTACATATAACTTCAAAACCTCCAACTTGACGATAGATGTGTCAGTTGCCAGATTGCAACACCAAGGTTGCCAAATCCCGAAACATATAAGGCAACCTTCGTAAAATGCAAGATAAAAATTTTACGTATTTAAAGGAAATATTCAAACGAGGGAATTAGATTTGTAATGACATGTAGGCCAGTGTCACGAGCAATGCGTTGACGCGCGTCATGACGGCAGCTGCGTCGATGCCTGCGCACACTAGTCACTTAACGCAAGTCGTAAATTAAAACTATCTTTTGCGAAACGACAACGATCGCTTTTGGCGATGTGCTTTGTGCCGACACGTGCTAATGTTCGCCTTTATTAAAAGTAGCCATGGCGTCGCGCGTTGAAAGCTAAAAAACAAGCTTTATTTGGACTTGCTTGCGCTAGGAGCCCAACGCATGTCGCCAAAACAGTTCGTGTGCCTTTTCGCATGAGAGGGTTATCTACGACACGCTTTAAGCAATTCGTGTTCGTGGGAACTCCCGACTATACTGCGATTCATTCAACTTTGCCCCTGGCAGGTATCAGCTGTTGATGGTTTCATCCAATCGGGAGACTGAACACCAGTTAAAGGCGTAGAGGTAGTGCTGCATTAAGTGTGAATATCTATGAAATCTCTTCCACTGGCGTGCCTGCTCGTCCCAGGTTACAAAAAATATTGTTCCGTTTCCAGGCACAATCAGGTTTTTGTAGTTTCCCAGATTGAGTAAATGCAGAGATGGTCCCTTCTGGACATAAATGTAGAGCCAGGGTGTGCTACTATTTTGTTAGCAATTCAAAAAATTATGTTTCTTTACAAATGCAAATAAGTTTTCTGTCAGTCAGGAGCAAAAATGTCAAGTTATCAAAAGTTGCCAACTTCGCCCTTTTTAGAAACTTTTTTCTTGACCCACTATTAATAGTTAAAACAGGAAGAGATTCTGGAGCTCAAGCAACATACCATGTCAAGTAATTTTTATTATTCCTTGACTAAATTTTAAAAAGTGACCAAGCAGCCCCACATGTAGTGTATACCTATGTAAAAACCTAGTTTTCGTTTTACCCATAATATTCAATTTCAGTTCTGCATTTTCACATTTTTTCCTTTCTGTCCCCTTAAAAACCTTTAATTGAAGTTTTACTGTATTTAGCCCTGAATTCTTCTGGCTGCTTCATTCTACAGATCAAAATGGCATACAAGAGCATAAATTTTCCTTGAAAAAGTATGAATTGGCTCTACTGTAAAACTTAACTTTTTTAGTTTTCTTATTTGTTGCAAATTCAATCAACATGAAATAAAGTGAAATATTGGAATGACCAGTCGCCTAGAGGTTTTGAACATGTATTTCAATTACAATATGGGTAAGGAAATTTCAATAAATAAAATGAAATACCTATGTAGTATTTTGAAGTGTATTATGAACCAAATAGATATTACAAAATTCTGTCAGTTTAGATTAATCTTAACATTCACAGTGAGACCATTACATCTTGTAAACTATTGTTCAAATGGGAATGTAAGATTTTGACAAATATTACTAATTAAATGCAATACACCACAAAGCAGCATAAGCTGACTACTTTCACTAAATAAAAAGTCAATGGAGAAACTATTTACATAAAACTGAAGTTACAGTACACATTTATGTCTCATCTCATTTGAAATAAATTCACAAGTACATTCACTCAACTTCACAGTAGTACACACTTATCATGAGCATCTTGACAACTGCTCAGAAATTTGCAGTCCACCATACCTAGAAAGAGGAACAGCGCTTAATTCTATCATCCACAATACACAGAGAAAATGTTTAAATAACAAAAAGCAGGAAAAAAGTATTTGATCAAATAGTCAACTAAAAAAATTAAAATTGTTGCAATTTAAGTCGCATACACACCAGTCATTTTTAAGCATGTTACTTCTCTTTGTCATACTTACTTAAAAATAATTCTTTAAAAACATTTTAGCGACCTTCAACTGAAAACAAAAAGAAACAATTTTTCATTAATAAATTAATTTTACTAAAAATTATTTTCTGATTACCTGAGAAACTGAGTGATTGAGTTGCATGCCCTAATTAGCTTGTGCATTTATTAATTTTCATACAAGCAACCAAAATAAAATATTTCATTGTCGATTACTTACTATATGATGAAAGATCAATTTCATCTGGTAATTCAGTAATATTAACATCAAAACGATCTTGTACTTCATTTAAAATTTTGGCATCTCCTTCATCGCTCACTAGAGTAATCGCAAGGCCCTAAGAAAAATAAGTATGATAAAATACAAATGGAACAGAAAAAAATTAATTAAAAACACTACTATCAACCATCATTGTATAGAGCGACTTTTTTTAGAATGAGCCAAACAAGTGAACATCACACGTAATTCAGAGAAATATGCCTCCACTGCGGCAACTGTTCAGACATGTCCCTTTGCAGTGTTTACGGATCTCGTTAAGACATCACTATACAAATATTAAAGAGTTTCTCCGAGGTATATGCACATACGGAAATATTGACATTTAATTACGTACATGGAAAAATATCTTAACATGCTCCCATATTCAGTAAAAGAAAATTGCCACGAATGTTCATAAAAAAAGAATTTTTACGGAAGAGCACATAATACTGCACTTCCTAATTTCAATTTTTTCTCATGGCCCACAACATTATTGTTGGACACGGACATCACAAAAGGAAGCATCGAAGCTTTACAAGTTAGCCAACTGCAAACGAATAGAGGAAGGAGAGTAATAGGCTCAAGGACACAACCACCGCAGAACCTTCAGTTGCGTTGCCAGCACTAGCTGTCAAAACTTCTCATTCTTATAAAAATCGCTCTGATTATACTAAACATCTTTATGCTAGGAAATCTCAGTCCAAAATCAATTAGCAATTTTATGGAAATGAAAGACCAACCCTGAGCAAGATGTACATACACATGAGAACCAAGTATCAGAAAATAGGAATGAAATATCTTATTTTACTCCAACACTTTATAGATTACCCACAGATAGCCCAATGAACATGTTGGGCAAAGGCAGGAAAGCGCAACCACCCTCCCTTCGTCGAGGCCCAAAAGTCCAGCCCACAGAAGAATGATACAACCTAACTACCATTTTCCTATATGACCTTCCGATATGGAATAAATTTTATAAAAAATCTTTACCTTGGTGCCAAAACGACCAGCTCTTGCAACCCGATGTAGGTATGTGTCAGAATCTTCTGGCATATCATAGTTAAAGACTATGTTTACTCTTTCAATGTCCATACCTCTGCCAAAAAGGTTAGTTGCAACCAATATTCTCTATAATGGAAAACCATTTGTAAGCAAGATATTTTATTTCTCCAATGCTAAATTTTAACAAAAACTTCATTAAATGTACCTTTTGGAAATCCTTAAATTGTTGATAACGAGATAATCTTTCCTCTTGGGTCATTCCTCTGTGAATAGCAATTGCAGGAAAGTTCTGTTCAATGAGTAATTGGGCTAGAGCCATACACCGTTGAACAGATTTCACAAATATTACAACCTGAAAAGTGAATCTGTGAGAACATATGATATCTAAAGCTAACCTCAGAATAAATTTTCTTTCATACATACCTGATTGAATTCTAAAATATCAAGTAACTCAAATAATTTTTTATTCTTCTCGTTCTCCTTTAACTTCACATAATGCTGTTGTAAACCATGAAGGGTGAGCTTTGCCTCATCATCAACGTAGACCTCCATAGGCTGAGAAGTAAGAAAGTGTAGCAAACAAGTTTAGATAAAATTGCCCATCCCACCCGAAACAACCTCACATAAAAGGGTATCCGAAGATACTTCCACAGATCTGGTAAAATTGTGATTAAGATTAAAAACTATCCATAAATTCAATGCTTCAGAGGCTTTAGAAAATTCATTACACTAAAGGATATAAAGGAAATCACAATGGTGGGTGAATATTTTAATAACCAGTCACACTCTGCAAAACCTGAGGTGTAAAGAAATAAGCTATTACAGCTAAACAATGAAGAAGGTGGTGAAGGAAGAGGTAAAAAGGTACACAACACCAGTCTTTCTCCAGGAGGGCGAGGTCCCAACATAACATACTAACCTCAAGCTAGTATGACCCTGCCTCTAGGACATATATGCACAACCTGCCTGATGTGTCATGCCTGCTCTGCTTCCAAATAAAACAAAAAACAAGTATATTCTCCAATACCGCTTTCACCATGTAGAACTGTTTAACCCCCCAACCTAACTCCCATTAATAATCATTTATCACTACGTTTTACATACGGTTTTGTCCATGGAAGTGGCAGTTGAACCACTGACCCTCTTGTACCATAGATGCACAGAAGCCACAAGTGGATTCAGCGATGCATCTTACAGGGCGTCACATCTTCAAAAGGACGAAGAGCAGCTTCAACGACCGCCTAGCGAATTGGGGGAGCACTGTAGCCGGCAGTAATTAACACTGGGATAGTTGAATAATTCCACTTAAAAGATGTGGATGTGTAGCAACCCAACCCCCACGCCTAAATTCTTCTTTTCTTGAGTTCTTCTTTCTTGAGATCTTCTCTCTTCTTTTCTTCTCTTCTTTCATTCCCCCCAGCCCCTTTCGGTTATAATGCATACTTCCCCAAGCCCTCTAACGATGTGCTACAGTGCTGGATGCTGACAGGTTTGTAGGATGTTGCAGAAATAGTAGTGAAGATTTAGGAACATAGGAGGTATGAAACACCGATAAAACTTGGACTGGTAATGCAGAGCATATGGTGGATGAGAGGTGCTACTAGGCTCATGGAATACCCAGGGATATTCAGGACTATGATGCGATTAGCCATTTCAGAATTCCAACAGAAAATTCTCCCGGGAATTTGAAGCTGACTGGTCAAATGAGTGGAACTAAGTTATAAATGGTAGATAACGAAGAGCAATTACATCTTGCATGAACTTCTTGCACACAGGCCGTATCTCCTTACTCAATGTTGCACTGAACATCATCACTTGCTTGCCATGTGGAGTGTTACGAAAGATTTCTTGCACGTCACGCCTCATATCTGCAAAAAGAATAAAATGTCCTGAATAATAAAATTTTTGAAACCAAATTGGTTTACTTCAAAAACTTATAAACCAATTGGAGTATATATTTTCATGAAATTATTCCCAATGTTTCTAACTACACAAATGCTCCAATGTATCACCAACAATTAAGCAAAACATGCATACTAACCAAGTAATTCTAACATTTTATCACATTCATCAAGAATGAAATGTTTTAAGTGTTTTAAATTTAGTTTTTTGGATCTAACAAGAGCCAAAATTCTGCCAGGTGTCCCAACAACAATATGTGGGCAACTGGTTTTCAGCACCTCCTCATCTTTTTGGATCGGCAAACCTCCGAAAAATACCCCAACCTGCAACAAAAGAAAAGGAGGTATAACAATTTGGAATTCATAGATTTAGGTTTATAGGTCTTCAGAAAGTGCAATATGAAATTAGACAAAACATAAGTACATAATAGGATGAGAATTATTGCAGCTCATTGTATGAAACCTTGGCTGACCTAACTAAAATTTTGACACTCCACAATATGACCCTTGGATAAGTGAATGGGCAAGACCATTAAACTGTTATAAGTACAAGTCCTCTATCTGAGCACCAACACTATTGTCGAGTATAATTGACTGCTATACAAAAAAAGTTATTCAGTATGTATTAACTTTTCGGGGAGGGGGGGGGGTAACTTAATGGTAGAATCAGTGCTCAATTCATAAAATTTCAGGTCCCCAGAACACACCCCACATTAATAATTTAATAAAAATAGTTATATATTAGTAATGACTTAGTAATTATTTTGAAGGTACCGGAATGCCATTCCATCTCGATCGGCCAGAAATCAAGCTCTGTCTAGGATTAAAGTCTGGCTTAATATCTTAGACAACCAAAACCTGGCCATGAAAGAAAATTTTCATTGACAAATTTGGTGTAATTTTTGAAAAAACAATGATTGACTGTTTCTGAAAAAGCATATTTAGAGATCTTTTCAACAGAAAATTTTCAAGCTTTGGAGGATCTTGAATTTGAAGATGTGTATTGTAGTCTTCTGGACCATATGAAACAAATTTACATACATTGTTAAATCTACAGGTACTCTTAACTATGTACAAAATTAGTTTCCTTATATGTATATTATAATTTTCCCTTTAAATTCTTTAATTTGTTCACAATATTTTTTATTTCAAATGGTAATTTATTATATTATTGAATTCCTTTGACAAATAGTCAAATTTTTGCCTGTACAGTTTTATTGAAATTACTAAATGTGCTTGACTTGATTATTCATCTTTCACTCTGGATTTTGTGTACTAAATATCCTGTTCTACAATTCTTAATTAATTTAAAAATAAAAATTAGTCTTGTAATGAATTCTCCCTTCTTGACAAATTTCAGTGTGTAGCATATGTAGCACTGGACATCTACTTAGCACACTTGCTAAAAAATGCAGAAATGTATAGAAATTACCAGTAATGTTATGAAGTAATTAATGTATCCTCACTTATTAGTAATTAATGAAGTGAGAGATACAAAAAAAATCACATTTGTGCACTTTCTGAAGGAAAAAAAGAAAAACAATGTGACAATAATTACAGAACAAATAACAATTTGAAAAAAAAAAAACTAATTTCAATATTATAGTTTTACGAAGACAGTGAAAAAAAAATTATTTTATTTTCAAAATTCTACAGGTTAACTGAAAAACAAAGATGGACCTAGGCAATCTGAGTATTTCACAAAAACAAGAAAGAATCTAGAATCAGGAAAACCCACAATGAGCATTTCCATTGAAATCTTTAAATCTATTTTCCACAGCATTACATAAATTTCTCTATACTACGTATATTACTTCAACCATGTGTAAACAAGAAAGTAGGACTTGTGAGATAACTACCCACTTCCTCACTCAGTTGAATGTAAGAAAGAAAATTAATAATTACAAATATCTGCAAAATCGTTTTGAAATGTTAAATAGAACAAGGACAGCAAAGCTACATCTTACACATTGACAATTAACAATAATTATCTCAAACTTAAAAACTTATTTCAGGAAGCATATCAGAGTATAGATCCACATCAAGGAGATCAGATGTCCCTATCTATACATAACATTCATCATGTAGCCTCCATTAGATATGACACAGAATCTTCAGACTTTTATGCAAAGCCAGAATCAGATTGTTTTTACGACTTTCTTATGAATAAGGGGCAGTGGATTACCCTATACTAAGAGGATTCAAGAAGTTGGCTGACCTGTACATTCTAGACATTCCCATAAACCATTGGTACCAAAATGATGCAAATAAAATGTTGCCAAGTTCATAGCCCGAAAGTTATCAGTTCTCTGAAGGAGTTAATTGTGATCCAAAGATATTGAAAATAAATTTATATATTAAGTAAGAAATGTCCTACTTATAAGATAACTGAAATTTGAAGAGCAATGCAGTCATATATAAAGGTACATTCCAATAAGTTCAGTATTTCATATTGGCATTTCGAGTAATTAGTTTTTTAGCTTGGATTTGTAAAATAATTAACACTTTTTAAAACAACATTTAAAAAAATAGTTACCAATCAACACAAAAATTTTATTTGGTACTTATTCATCATTTGTTAACAAGTACATTGCACAACTACAACTTTTTTGTTTAGCCTACTAGAGGGCAATGTGAACCACCTTAATAGATACAAATTTCCAATCTGCAAAAATAGTTTTGAAATGATAAACAAAAGACAGCGTAAGTTAGTTACATCTTGCACTTTGAGATAATTATTGTTAATTATCAAACTTAACAACTTATTTCAGGAAGCATATCAGAGTATAGATCCACATCAAGGAGATCAGATGTCCCTATCTATACAAGATACTCATCATGTAGCCTCCATTAGATAAGCCACACAGAATCTTCAGACTTTTATGCTAAGTCAAGATCAGATTGTATTTATGACTTGCTTATGAATGGTGGGACCAATTAAGGGACCATGGATTACCCTACACTAAAAAAGGTTTCAAGAGGTTGGCTGTTCTGTGTGTTCTAGACCTTCCCGACAATGTTAACTATTGGTACCAATATGATAAAAATAAAGTGCGGCCAAGTTTATTGGATGAAAGTTATCAGTTCTCTGAAGGAGTTTAATGTGATCTAAAGATATTATTAAAAACAATTTACATAATAAGTAAGAAATGTCCTACTGATAAGATCAGTGAAATTTGAAGAGAAATGCAGTCATATATAAAGGTACATTATTCCAGTATGTTCAGTATTTTATGTTGGCATTTTGGGTCAAATGAGTTTCTTAGCTTTGATTTGTAAAATAATTAACACTTTTTAAGACATCATTTAAAAAAACTTTTACCAATCAAGGCAAAATACACAAATATTTTATTTGATACTCGTGCATTTTTTTTAACAATGCACATTTCACAATTTCCAATCTGCAAAAAAAACTTTTGAAATGTAAAGTAGAACAATAACAGCAGAAGTTAGCCACTTCTTTCACATTGACAATTAATAATATTATCTTTAACTTAACTTATTTCAGGAAGCATATCAGAGTATAGATCTACATCAAGGAGATCAGATGTCCCTATCTATACATTATACTCATCATGTAGCCTCCATTAGCAATGCAACACACAGTTTTCAGACTTTTGTTTAGAAATATTATCTATTTTAATGATTTTCTCATAAGTGAGGCACAGTGGATCACCTCACAATACAGTAAGTTCAAGAAAACAAATGGCAGAGATTCACTTTCTTTTCAAAATAGCCAAGCCTAGAGGTAGGCAAGACCAATAGGGGAATATTTATTTTAGAAAAAATTCCTGCAATTGGTTCATGAGCTAGAATTTTTCAGAGACAAATATTTTAGGAGTGGCGAAAAAAACTCAGTAGTAAGGACCCCCAAAACTTGTACTACCATTTTGAGATATACAAATAAAACTGAAAAAAATTATAAAGCCTCAGCTCGCTCATTTAAATGTACAGATGTGGTCACCATTATTAGACTAGAGTAACTGAATAACACAAAATGTATTTGCAAACTGTAGAAATTGACACAGAGTACAGGGTTCTAATATATTATAAACATTCCATAATTAATATACTTGTACCTGTATACACT